CCTGTTTTTAGCCTCTCCAGTGCTGGGATTACAGTCATGTGCCACCACGCTGGGTCTTGGTGGCCAGCTCAGTGTACCCAGGGGCAGGGTCAGCAGGTGGTGCTGGGGATTGAACCCTGGTCCCTGTGCTTGCTTAATCCAATTAGCTGTCTTACTGGCCCTCTAAAGTTTTAAAATTTTGAGACAGGGTTTCACTAAGTTACTAAATTACTCAGCCTGGATCTGAACTTTTGAATCTCCCGCCTCAGCTTCCCAGAGTGCTGGGATTATAGGAGTGTGCCATCACACCAGGCTGACCCTGTCATGCTTTATAAAATTGTTATTGCTACATAAAGCTCTTTCAAAAACTTTGAATTTCAAAGTAAAGGACTTTTCATAAAAGATGAGGAATTATATATCATGATGGGTTGCCTATGTCTGTGAAAGAGTATTTCTTTTATTTAAACAGAGTATTCTTTTACTTTAATCATAAAAGACAATATATACTTAATTTTTTAAAAAACCTGCCTCTTCCATATTGTCAGACCCTTCCCATCTATTAGGGTTAAGAAATCACTGATTCATTTTCTGTCCCTTCTGACATCTACTTTTCTATACACTCACAAGTGTGTGCCTACATCTTGCTGGGTTTCCATCCTCTTTGGACGCGTTATTTCTGCTTATTAGCACTCCTGGGATTGCTACCCACCATCAGCTCAGTGTACCCAGGGGCAGGGTACACCTGCTTCACGGTGCTGCTGCTCCTGCCAAGCCTAGGAAGTGTCCTGCAAAGCTTTCTTAAACTCATGCTAAAATGTACCTCACTGCATTGACATGTTGCCTAAGAGGCAGACTGAACCCAGTACTCTAGATTGGAGCCTGGGTCTATTTTGGGTACCTTTGACCTCAACCATCGAGAGGACTGTGGGCAGGGTGCTTGTTTCCTATGGCCACACAGATGCCTGTCTCACTTTTTCATTCTGTTTTTCTGCAGCAGCACTAATCTTGACCAATGGTACTCGGCGTAAGACCTTGTGACACTCTCTACCTATTGGTCCCCCTCCCTCTCCCCTCTTTCTCTGGTCACCACTGGCCAGCTGTCCACTGCTGTGAGGCCAACTGTGTCATGGGCCACATAGGAGTGAGGTCGTGTGGTGTTTGTCCTTCTCAGCCTGGCTTATTTCACTTAATATCTCAGAGACAAACAAATTCTGACATCCTATTACATAGCAGGGTGCTGGTAGGTAAAGGACAATGCCTGAGAGATTTCCAAATAGCTAGGGGACAGGATTGTGGCTAGTCTCATTAGGAAGAAATGATACATGTTGGAGTTGAGGGATTGGAGGTCGGAGACCAGGGTGGGGTAAAACTAGCAAGGATGAGGGCGTCACCTGTCAGTCTTGGAGACCCAGGACACAGGCGCAGAACACAGACTCCGGGGGATGCTGCAGATTTTGCAAGTTCACACACCCTGTGTGTGGGGCTGGCTGGACCCATCAGAAAGTGTGATCTTCAGGCCTTCATCTGTGCCTGGTGCGAAGGCCACAGGGCCTTTGATAGGATGGTTTGGATCCGCTGTCAGACCATGCAAGTTTCCAGGAGGACAACCATCGCAAAAGCTGCATTTGCAGGGAGGAGAAGCAAGCTAGGAGCTAAAGGTACAAAAGGCCCCGTTCACTGTCTTGGCGGCTGCTGCGAGCCTTCCATTGGCGTGCTCACCTTGCAGAGCCCATTTCTTCTCCTCCTTCGATACGTGTAAGTCCTCATTTTTCAGGGCATCTCACCCAATTTATTGTTTAGGACACCAAGCACCTGGAAAAATCACTTTGGGGTCTAAAAGTGACCACTGTGCAGTCTACACATCAGGAACTACCACACCACACCCCAGCAACACGTACAATTCTAGTGCAACTATTAAAACAGAAGCTTATTTAAAATGTGTTGAATTTTTGTTAGAGAAAGATTGATGACTGAAACAGATTACAGATTACAGATTGAGAAGTTGTAACAAATCAGAGTAAGCCTAACAGTGGGCCACTCTCTCACTCTGCCTCTAATTTGCTGTGATTGGTGGAAACGTCTCTGCTCACCCAATCCCCGAAGAGCAGAGTGAGACCTCCAGGGTCTCTCAGAGCTGAGCTCATCCACATGGATGTTTCTGGAGTGTCAGGCTCTTTTGATGACTTTCATCTGTGATTGCATGTTGCTCTTATGAGGAAAGGACAAGGACAGAGAAAACAGGCATCAAAGTACCTAATGTTGGGCAGGGGGATAGGTTGGTGGTTAAAGTGCCTGCCTGGCAAGTGCAAGGTCCTGAGTTTGCTGGCCACAAAATTGGGTGTGGTGGCACACACCTGTGATCCCAGCGCTGGGGAGGCCGAGACAGGAGGGTTACCACGAGTCCTAACTGTGTAGGGGGATCCCATATTAAAAAAAAAAATACATTCTACTGCAACTTTGCACAATTCAAAAGCAGGCTGACACAAAAGCCAGTCCTTGAGTGTGGACAGTTGGAGGGAGGAGTTATATCTGCCGAGAACAGCTGACAAGAGTGAGGAGCTTTTCTCAGATTTAGGAGAAAAGAATGTGCTGGAGCAGCCATGGATTATGAGCAAAGCGGGCGAAAGTGCCGTCACGGCCGCAGAAGCCCACGCGCACGTCTGACCTGCTCCGTGGGGAGAATCGCTGAAGCTGGAGCAGAGCTGCTCCCTGAGAGTGGGCGCCCTCAAAATTAAGGTCTGCGAGAGGACAGGGCTGCTTCTGTGTTTCTACAGGAAATAGTGTTTGGTTCAATGTAAGAAGGAAACTAATAGAAGAAGAAAATTACAGTATGGAGAACAGTGGAGAGAAAGGAGAGGGGGTGGTGAGGAAGCTCAGGATGATCGATCGAGGAGCTCAGTGTGTGCTATCGCTGATACACTTAAAGAAAAAAATGTATGGCGCAGAGAAGCCACCAACGTACCCATGACAGTTTAAAGCTGCAGGCTGCACATCTGACAGGTTCGCTTAGACTGTGGGAATGGCTTGGTACCGAACTCTGTGCTCCGTGATCACAAAGCTCGTGCAGCAGAGCATTTGGAAAGCCCGCAGCTCCCTGGGCCAAGGCCTTCGGCACTCCCCACACCCATGCCAGACTTCAGCTTTCTGTTCCCAGTCCTGGTGGGGCAGCAGAGCCTGGACCTGCCTAGCCAGAGAGACCGTGGCGTGGAGCCCGGAAGGCATGGGAACAAGCGCCTCATTGTGGCTTGCACCCCTTCTCCCTGTCTGGGGGTCTCCAGCTGAGGGCCCGCAGGTTCAATTCAGATCCAAAATGAGCCTCACGGCCCCTGTCCCCAGTTTCCTCTCCACAGGGTTGTCGGGTTTCTGCAGACACACACATACTCCAGTACTTACGTAGTGTGAGTTCCCACTCCACATTTGGAGTATAAGCATATTACAAAACTATTTGCTCTCCATCTGAAATCCAGTTAGTCCTGCGTGACTCCAATATTTGGTAGCAATTGGAACTCAGAGTCCCCAAAGCACCCAGGAAGGGTTGGGAAGGTCAGACCTGAGAGTATTTGAAGACCTAGACAGGGAGTATCAATAAATTCTCCTGTTTCACTTTGGTTTTTGAGACAAAGTCTCCGTATGTAGTTCAGGCTGGCCTTGAGTTCACTACACAGCCCAAGAGTGGCTACAAACTCAGGGTGATCCTCCTGCCTCGGCCTCCCAAGTGCTGGGATTACAGGTGTGTACTACCATAGCCAGTCCTAAATTATCTCTTAATGATAAAACCACAAGAGCCTTGGAGAGAGGAGCAGGGCACCTGGAGTCTCCTTAACTCCCCCTACCCAAAGCTTCATCCCACATTCCCAGCCTGGTTCCCCAAGGGAGAAGGAGTGAGCCAGGACCCTTGCTGTAAGGAACGATTTCCCCTGGCAGCGGTGGCCATGAAATCACTGTAGAGAGGAGGAGCGGACACAGGACGGGCAGCTGGGGACACAGAAGGACACGGTGACACGCATCGGCTCACAGCAGACCTTGAAAGCTACAGTCATGGCATGGAGGCAAACACACGAACGCACGCGCCCATGGTTGGCAGTCTCACCACACGGCTTTCCTCCGTGTCACTGAACTCATCGCGCTCGCCTGTGGTCATTGTGGGCGTTTCCTCCTAAGCAACAGCGGAACCGCCGTCTGGGGGCTGCGGAAGTGCAGGCAGGCGATGGTGGCCTGCACTCTGCGGAGCCACCTGGGGACCGCCGCAGCTCGCAGTGCCCAGCAAGCGCTCCCTCCGCCCAGCCTCTCGTGCTTGAGGCACCCGCCGTCAGCTCCAGGTCTCTAGTTCGTGGGATTTTCGAGTCCAGCGCGAGGATTTAGCCCTCCAGCCTGACAAAGCTCAATCCAGGCTGAACGACAGTTACTGCCGTCTGCGGTACCTAGAACTACAGGGGTCTGGCCCGGGACGCTCTCATTTGTTCATTCTGATTTATCTTTCCTCTAGGTTTGGAGATCTTCGGGTGGGATCACCCTTAGCCTGAATTCTCTCGCAAGTGTGAGCTCTCTTAGGACGGAGGGGTTTTCTCCTTGAACCCTGTTGTGCCTCCCTAGTCACACGGAGGCTTTATTAGTGTGCAGCCCCCGGGGCACGGAAACTACTTTTACCTTTCTGTGCCTTTGTACTTAAAAACCTACAGAAAAGACTATAGTTGCACGACAAAAACCTAGAAATAATTTAGCGGGGAAAGGCGCTGTCACGTGTTATGACAGGAGGTTTTAGACTGATGCAATAACTCTGCTTTCTGTTGCGAAGGAAGGGAGCTCCTAAGCTGTCCAGCGGGGCTCACCCGGCCTGCAGTCCTTGGTGTCTCACGGTGTTTCAGGGGTTCAGACCATGCTCTGGGTAGTGTTGGGTAAAGAAAGCCCGTCTGACTCCGGGGTGCCCCAGACGCAGGGCCACCGCCCCGGTCAGGGCCTGCTTGGGGACCTCAGGGCAGCCTGTCCCCCCGGGCCCGCCCGTCGTCGGTGGCTGCACTCACCGGTGCTGCTCTGGATGGTGCGCACTGTGGTGGCCGTGCGCGGCGGCGAGGCGGAGCGCAGCGACACGCACTCGTCGTCCTGCGAGCAGCCCTTCTCGATGGCGCGCACGTAGCTGTGGCTCCGCATGCGGAAGCAGCCGGGCACCGGCAGGTCCAGCGCCTCCACCGCCTGCGACTCCAGCTCGCTGAACACCGACTCGCACACGGACTCGAACTGCCCGTTCACCTCCATCTCGCTCACCTGCGGGCGGACGACACCCAGGTCAGGGCCCTGCCACGTGCACCTGCTGCCAGCTAGGGCTTTGTTTATTCCCTGCTTACTTTGTTCTTTTTTTTTTTTTTTCCCCTTCAAGAGGCGTGGTTTCCAACCCCGGACCTCCTGCATGCCAGGCGAGCACTCAGCCGCGCAGCCCCAGGCCGGCCCTCCTTGGTTCTGGCAACGCTGGGAATTGGGAGTTTCCTGGGCCCCTGGGCAGGGCTCGCGTCTTCCAGCGAAACTCAGCCACACAAACATCTTAGGAGCAAGTGTTTTCAAATGGGGATTGGGTCAGATTGTTTCAGGGTTGTCTAAGGCCCCATTAGGAGCAATATATGCAAACGGTGTTACATTCCTGTACAAAACCAGACGAAACCCAGCTTGTCACAGCCTTGAAGAACACAATCAAGATTCTCTACCCATCACAGGGACTGCTCTTCTTTATAAAGAGCCGGCATAGTGGTCAGATTGTTTGGAAGTACATCTAAAAAGATCTTTGAAATGGGGCTGTCTCTTGTTTTTTTTTTTTTTTAAATTTATTTATTTTATTTATGTGTGTGTGTGTGTGTGTGTGTGTGTGTGTGTGTATGTGGCCAGCTCAGCCCACCAGGGGGCGGGGCTGGCCGGCATGTGGGGCTGGGGGATTGAACCGCGGTCCCTGTGCTTTGCTAAGCTTGTTCTAAGTAGGTGCTTTAGACCACTGAGCCATCTCACCAGCCCTGTCTCTTGTTTTTATAGATGGTGTTCCCTTCCTTTTTTCTTTCTTTCTTAGAATCAGGTGTTTGTGTTGCTGAGCTATATCTCCGACTCTATATTTACATCTTTGCCAAAATCTTTTGTCTTTTGGGGAAATACATAGTCACATTTACAGTCAAGGGCTGTGTTTCCATGACTGTTATGTGGAATGAAGGAAAGAAGCAGGGGGCCAGTGTGGTCTGTTTGTATTTAACAATGACCGGAGTCTGGGTCTGTGGGAGACAGAAGTCTTTGTAGGATACTGTGACTCCTGTAAGTTTGAAGTGACTTCCAAGTAAACCCTAAAGCCAACTATATTATGCCCCCCTCTCTCTCTCTTTCTTTTTTTTATGAGCAGAATATATTTATTGAGAGAAAGAAAGCTCCTGTCCAAGAGAGGGACAGGAGGGGGGCCCGAGTGGGTAGTTCCCCTTCTCTCTCTTTCTCTAAATAATTTTCTTGGCATTTCTTTTATGAATGGCATATTCAATATCAGAAAGAAATAGTAAGTATCCTGTCAAGGTGACAACCACTAAACTTGGATGCCTGTCTTACCAGAGAGTTGATGTGCTCCCAATTAATTTTTTAAAAATAATGTATTTAGTGCAGGGTCTACAGGGTCTCACTACATAGATCTGACTCGTAGTGATCTGCCCCCAAGTGCTGGGATTACAGGCTTGCGCCACCATGCCCAGTCTCAATCGTTGCCTCAGCATGCCCTGGGGGCGGGGCTGGCAGGGCCTACTGGGGATTTAACCCCAGTTACTGCGCAGGTGCTTTAATCCACGGAGCTATCTGGCCGGCCCCCAATTAATTTTTTAAATATAACTTTAATTATAGAGTACATATAATTCTACAACTTGTTTGCTTTTTTACATAATTGACTAGGTTAAGCATATTTGTATGTTTGCCTATCCATCATCCATCTATCTAAATGGCTTATCTAACTGTCACAGTAATGGAAAGCTTTAAGTGTACTTTGTTATTCTTGGTACAATCAGAACGTATTATTAGTTTTTTAGATTTATTTATTTACTTATTTGGTACAGGGTCTTTCTACGCAGCTCCAACTTATAGTGATCCTCCTGTCTCAGCCTCCCCAGTGCTGGGATGACAGGCTTGCGTCACCATGCCTATGGCATGGGGCTGGCACAGCATGTGGTACCAGGGATCAAACCCAGGTCCTTGTGCTTGCAAGGCAGGTGCTTAGACTGCCGAGCTATCTCCCCGGCCCTATGCATCTCTTTTGATTACAATTTTTCTGTTGAAGGATGTGAGGTGACTGACTTTTAGCCACCAGCAGGCCTGTGCTTTTCATCAAAGGGCACATGGAGTCTGAAGTGTCTCTCTTTTTGTGTCCCTGGGGACCATGTCATGCTCACTGCCTAGACCCATAATTCATCAGCGCTGTGGAATGGCAGAGTTCTAATCCTATCATTGTGGTTATAAGTCCCAGTCGGAGAATTTTAATACAGAAATGCTTCCTGTCATAGTGTCTTGCTACTTAATGGCTTAGCTCATATGGAGGTGGAGAGAAAAATACTCGACGTCTTCCTCTTCCTTTGAGATAATAATGTGTTCCCTTTTGTCTTTCAGAGGTGATGAGCTAATTTTTAAAAAGATCAAAATTCTGGGCATGATGGTGAATGCCTGTGATCCCAGCACTCTGGGGGGAGGATTAGAAGGTTGAACCCACCTGGATAAGTTAGTGGCGTAAAAATAAATAAATAAATAAATAAATAGGGTTGAGGTGTATCTTAGTGTGAACTTAACTGAGTTAAGTTCCCAGTATTGCGAAACAACAAAAAATATAGGAAACCAAATAAAATAATAAAGAACTCAAACAAAAAAGATCGAAGTATATTATAGATTAAAATTTTTTTTTTCTAGTTGCCATAGTTTGGGAATTGTCCTCCAAAGTTATCTCCCTACCCTGCTGAGAGGCGGTAGAATCATTATTAGAAGTTGGGGGCCTACAGGATGGAAGTGAGGTAGGTCATCTGGGGATGCGGCCTTCAAGGAGCTGTTGGGACTCCATCCCCGTTCTCTTCTTCCATTCCTGGCCCCCAGGAGGGAGCAGCTTCCGGCCCCGCCGTCCTGGCCATGATTGTGCCTCACCCCAGCCTCCAAGGCGACAGACTGTGCCCAGGGACTACAACTTCCCAGGCTGTGGGCCGAAATAAGCCTGTTTCCTGCAAGATGACTTATCTCAGATGCCTGCCACAGGCATGGAGAGGTGACTAGTGCAGGGGCCGTCTTTGCTGTTCCTGTGACCTCACCTGCTCCACTCTTGCCCAGTGAGCGTCCCTCGGGCTGGATCTTGAGTTTTTCTTTGACATGAATTTTGTAGTCTTTTCTGGCTTTCTTGATAGCAACCATATTTCCACCAATGCCAGGTGTCATGGAGTAGTTAAATAATCAGACAATACCAGGATCTTTTGGTTCTGTCACTAGCTAGCTGTGTACACATCTGGGTCTCATTTTTACACACACACACACACACACACACACACACACACCCCACAGTGAAAGGTGCTACTAAGTCAAAAGTTGCAGCTAAGCTGCTGCTTTTTGCTACTGAGCACAAAACTGCCTAGTTCCACTACTTCTATAAAACAGCCAGGTATGGCGGTGCATGTCGAAAATCCCAGCACTCTGGAAGGCTGAGGCAGGAGCGTCTTGAATTTAAGACCATCTTGAGTAGCTTAGCAAGACCTGTCTCAAAATAAAAAAGGCTGAGGCTATAGCTCATTGTGAAGGTCCTGGGCTCAATCCATAGTATCAAGAAAAAAAAAAAAAGGATAAAAGATGAAATCCAGTATGTCACTGAGTAAAATATTCTAGTTTGTAGTTCCAGGTGAAGATACTTAAGATTTATACTTGAAATAAGACATAAATTAATTT